TTTTTCTCTCGTTTTATCTACGAGAAGAATATCATCAGCAAAAAGCATACACCAAGGTACATCCTCCTGTAGACCATCCATAACTAAAGCAAAAAGATATGGGCTTAAAGTCGATCCCTTATGTAAACCAACAGAAATAGAAAATATTTTGTCAATCCTCCCTTCAGTTTGAACACAAGTAACAGCTCTAGTATACATATCTTTAATGACTTGAATATAAGTCATATCAACACATTTCTTCTCGAGAACTTTCCAAAGGATATCTCTTGGAACCTTATCGTAAGCTTTTTCTAAATCAATAAAAATCAAATGTAGATTCTCCTTATTATCTCTGAACTTCTCCATCAAACCTCTCAATAAATGTATAGCTTCCATAGTAGACCTGCCAGGCATAAATCCAAATTGATTATGAGAAATTTTCGTGATGCATCTTAACCTATGTTCAATTACCCTCTCCCATAATTTTAAAGTATGACACATCAACTTAATTCCTCTATAATTTGCACACTCTTGTGCATCCCCTTTATTCTTAAAAATGGGGATCAAAATACTCTTCCTCCACTCCTCAGGCATCTTTTTAGTTTTTAAAATAATATTAAAGAGTTTAGTAAGCCAAGAAACTCCCAAATCTCCCAAATATTTCCACACTTCAATTGGGATATCATCAGGTCCTACAGACTTCCAAATAAGATCCTCTAATTTAAATATAACTTATTTAAATTAGAGAAGTAAATGAGCTTTCATCATATTTATCTTCTCAAAAACTTTTTCGAAGATGATGTTGATAGAACTCCGTGTGTCTATTAATATGTTTCTGATTTGACTGTTGTCTATTTTCGCTGTTACGACGATGGCATCGCTAAAATAATTCCCACCATCGGGCAGGTCTGTTCCTGTGAGGTGATCTGGCAAGACTGATAGAATTGACATATTGGACCTTCAATTGGTTTAGGCTTGAATGTCATGAAGGTTTAGGTCCATTCTCACTGAAGATGGCAGGTACAACTCTAGCGACATGTATGATTATGACAAGAGTCTGGTTCATCAGAAGTAGCTTCGGCGAGTGTTTTATCCCCCC